AGATAGAGAGAGAGGCAAAGGGAGAGAGAGGCAGAGAGAGTGAGAGATAGAGGCAGAGAGAGAGAGATAGAGGCAGAGAGAGACAGAGGGAGACAGAGAGAAAGAGAGAGATAGAGAGAAAGAGGCAAAGGGAGAGAGAGGCAGAGGGAGAGAGAGGCAGAGAGAGAGAGAGACAGAGAGAGAGGGAGAGGCAGAGAGAGAGAGAGAGAGAGAGACAGAGAGAGAGAGAGAGAGAGAGAGAGAGATATAGAGAGAGAGGCAGAGGGAGAGAGAGGCAGAGAGAGAGAGAGATAGAGGCAGAGAGAGACAGAGAGAGAGAGAGAGAGAGATAGAGAGAGACAGAGAGAGAGAGATAAAGAGAGAGAGAGAGAAGCAGAGCGAGAGAGAGAGGGACAGAGAGCGACAGAGAGAGAGAGAGAGAGAGAGATAGAGAGAGACAGAGAGAGAGAGATAAAGAGAGAGAGAGAGAAGCAGAGCGAGAGAGAGAGGGACAGAGAGAGACAGAGAGAGACAGGGACAGAGAGAGACAGAGAGAGAGAGAGAGAGAGAGAGATAAAGAGAGAGAGAGAGAAGCAGAGCGAGAGAGAGGGACAGAGAGAGACAGAGAGAGAGAGAAAGATAGAGGCAGAGTGAGCGACAATGTTTTATAGCTGTCAGGTTTGTTTACAGGGTTTTTTCAAGCAAAACAAAAACTTACCATCAAAAAAAGTCTTGCACATTTTTTCTCCTTTTTCAGTGTAATTCTACTCATTCATCTGTTTTTGCAAAGGAACTACAGTATACATGTTTCTATTTCTATTGAGGCCCCTGCTTTAAACACACACATGACCACACTCTAGTCCACCACACACACTGTTACAGACAATGGGCCCCGAACCAAAGCCATAGAACCAACTGCACGCTTCAGACCAACCCCATCACACATTCTCCTCGCTCTATATTTAGTTTGGGGTTGGCTGAAAGGCGCCTAAAATACGTCAGAGATTAAATATTTAGACGGACCGAGACTGGGGCTGCGACGGGGTTTTCTGGAGTGGCCCTCGAGTGACGGGCAAAAACCATGCATTATTTGTGTTCGTTTGGGTTCTCGACATGATTTAGAGAATGAATGTTTCAGGACGTGACTTCACTTCCTTAAGTAGGAAAATATACTGTCCGACCAATCAGACGTCAGGGTTAAAGGAGAGGAGGAAGTCTGAGTCTGGGAAAGTGATAAGTGAGTGAGTCAGCTTGGGCGGCACAGTGGCTGAGGGGATAGCTCTCTCGATTCTCAGCAAGAAGGTCCTGGGTTCGAATCCTGGTTGGAACAGGGCTGTTCTGAGTGGAGTTTGCGTGTTCTCCCCGTGTCTGCGTAGGTTTTCATGTACAATAGTTTTTTTTGTGTGGCATTTGTCTGTTATGATCTCCCCCTCCTCTTGTGTGTGTGTTTGTGTGAGCGTCGATCCGCTCCAGTTTGCTTACATACAGAACAGGAGTGTGGAGGATGCCATCTCCTTTGCTCTGAACTCTGTCTACACTCATTTGGACACTAGTAAATCTGTCGCGAGAATGCTGTTCATTGATTATAGCTCTGCTTTTAATTGTCTTGTCCCAAGCATATTGGTTGAAAAACGAATGTCCCTTGGTCTGAATGTTGCCATGTGTAAATGGATTTTTTTAGCTTTTTAACTGACAGATCTCAGAGAGTGAAAATCAATGACTGATTTTCTGATGTTGTTTCTGTGAGCACTGGTTCTCCTCAGGGATACATTTTGAGTCCTTTGCTTTTTACTTTGTACACTCACGACTGTGTGTCCTCCTCTGACTCAAACTTGATCATTAAATATGCTGATGACACCACCATCATCGGTCTCATCAGTGACAATGATGAATCCTCTTATAGAGCAGAGATCGAACATGTTTTTCAGTGGAGTAAAGTAAACAATCTCCAGCTGAACACTGCAAAAACATGTGAACTTGTCTTTGACTTCAGTCGTAGCAGTTCTCACACTCCTGTTGTTATTGACAACTCCCAGGTGCAGATTGTAGAGGAGTGCAAGTTTCTGGGTTTAACTCTGTCTAACGACCTGAAATGGGACAAAAACACTAACCGGGTCGTTAAGAAAGCTCGTCAGCGGCTCTTCTTTTTGCGGAAACTTAGAGAATTTACCACTAACTCTAAGATTCTGCTTAACTTTCATCGCTGCACCATTGAGAGTTTACCTGTTGGTTCTGTGTTTGTGTGGTTTGGAAACATCACAGATAAAGAAAAGAGAGCTTTAAACAAGGTGCTCCGCTCTGCAAAGAGGACCGTGGGCTGTGAGCTTCCTGTTCTGTAGGTTCTTTATGAAATCCAGACTTTTAAACAGAGGTCTTAAAATCATCAATGACTCTTCTGGCCACCCTGGGAAAGCCATGTTCCAGCTTCTTCCCTCGGGAAGAAGATATCGGTCTCTGAGATGCAGGACATCTCGCTGTGCTAACAGCTTCTTTCCACAAGCTGTTAGGTGCCTAAACAGAGAACTTTAATTCCTGCTTTCACCCCTTGTATTGTTTTTGTCGATCGGTGCCACAGTGTCAGCTGTTTTTTATTCATTTATTTTCAGTGTATGTGTATTTTATATTGCATTGTATCGTGCTCTTTATTCAGTCGGTGCACACATAGTACCTTTTTTGTGAATGTATGCCAATGTAGTTTTTATACTGCACATGGCTAATAAAATGAATCTGAATTAATCTGAATCTGTGTGAGTGTGTGTGTGTGTGTGTTTGTGTGTCTTTGTGTGTGTGTAAAGCTCTTCCTATTTAAACCCGTCTCTTCCCCCACTCACTGCCAGTTTGTCAGTTCTCCAACTGAGGTAGAATATCTTTTGGCCTTTGTTCTTGTGACTTTGTTGTACTAGTGTTGCCTCTTTTGTATTTTTCCTCTGAGTTGCCTGTTTTTTTCCAGAATTTTGTCTGGATTATTTACTTACCTGCGCCCCTGGACCCCTTCAGCCCAACTCCTGGATCAACCCTCACTAAAACAAACTCGTTTTTCTTATTGTAAATTTGTGTGAATTCTTCTGATTTTCATTCATTTGCTGTTTTGACATGGACAGATCGAATGTGCTGCAGGTGCTCATAACTCCTTTGAACTTTCACCTACTCCATTTGAGCAGCAAATATGACTCTAATAACTTCTATTGTTCTATAAACAATTTCGTATTTTGCTCAAATAAATAAATAAACAAATAAAAACACTGTCCCTGTAAAAATCAAAAACATATATTTTATATATCTAGTTGGTCTGAAAGGAGCTGAACTCTCGGAGCTGTAGTAGCTTCAGATTTCAGAGAGTCTTAGTGTTAATGTATTTTTTTGTTTATTAATTCAAGCATTTCCCAATTGTCATTTATTCACGAAGGAAACCCGTCCTTACGTCTCGAACACACACAGCTACAGTCGTCCATTATTGATGTGGCCTCGGGGCTGTTAATGTTTCTACAACTGCTGCGTTTGTTTTGGTGAATTGTGTGCACTTTGGTGTCCCAACAACTCCTCTTTACAATTTATGGACTTATTCTTTGTGCACAGTTCATAGTTTTCAATCCAACTTTTGTTGTTGTTGTACTACCCTAAATCACAGTTGTCTGGAGCACTGCCCATTTGTCCTTCCTCCCAGCAGCTGTCAGACTGTACAACGAGAACTGCTGAGTCTAAAGTACAGTATACACCTCTGTAAATACCTCCTGCTGACTACAGTTCATACTCCACTACAGTTTAACTTATCTACCATCTTAAATAGATCCTGTCTGATGTGTGATATCTGAGTGCTCTTATTGCCTCCTTTTATTCTGCTGTAATGTGCACAACAATGACATAAACATTTCCTCACTCTGCGACAAATGAAGGAATACAGTATATCTTATCTTGTCTAATCTAACAAGACAGAGAAACAAACAGTTCTGACGCAGGTAATGCACAACTGTAAATACGTCGGAGCCACTGGTCCATTGGGAGGCCCATGTGGAGAGAGGGATCTGCTCCCATAAGATTTAGGGTTCTGTAAAAATAAATGGAATTGAAATGAAAGTATGTTTTGTTTTGATTTGTTTCTCCACGTTTTACTTTATTAAGACTCTTTCTGTTGAGGTAAAAACACAATCAGTGTGATTCATGAAAAGAAAAGTTCTGTGCCCCAGCTTTAGTTGTGTAGATGTATTGACACTCTTCCTGGATATGTTTAGTATGATATAACTTTTTTTTTTTTCATTTAGACTTATGCTGGTTGATGAGACCCTTTATTCGTCCCACTGTGGGGAAATTTCAGTGTTGCATCCCCGGTTACAGAGGCAGAGAGAGACATGAGTGGTACTTTATCATAATAAATAAGAAAGTATAAAATCTCTATTTTGAGCTGAATAAAGGCGCAAGAAGTAGGTACTAAGAATAAGATAAATAAAAATACTACGAGTCCAGTCATTAACCGTTGTGCAAAATCCATCCATGCATTTTCTTCCGCTTTACCCAATGCCAGGTCGCGGAGGCAGCAGATTTGAGCAGAAACAGGCCAGAGTTCCCAATCCCAGACCCAGAATCCTCCCTCGTCCACATCTCCTCTCTCCTCTTTCCAAACTCGATTTTACCACAAAATGTTGACAGCTCAAAGTTCTCTGTCTGTTCTGTCTCAGCAGGTTCCCTCCCGGACACACACACACACACACACACACAACTAGACACATTGTATCTGTGTCAACACCCCATAATAACACTACACCCTGGACACCATATATCTTGTCTCCTTAACCTTGCGCTATCGTCCAGCAGGAGCCTCATCCGGGCCGTTAGCCAAGAACCACTCCCCCTCCTCCTCCTCCTGGTCTTCCTCAGCTCTCATCCCGTCCCCGGTAGCCTCTCCTGAAACCCGTCGTGGGGGGGTATACTACTGCCGCGGTTTCCATGGCAACAGGCCTGTGCGGACAAGTCGAATGGACCGGCCTGACCCGGGCACGCAGGGAATGTGTTGAACCGGCGCCGTGATGCAATGCAGCCGGATGGATTTCATTAACGGTGGAGACGGAGGCGATGATTCAAGATGGTTCAGTGCAAAATGGTCCGGTTTGGTTCATAGATCACAGTAATGGACAGTGCTTTCCACACAGAGGCACGGCAAGTTCAGACCAATACGGGAAAAACCACTTTATCTGTGTGAAGCTGGCGTTATGGGGGACTGAAATAACACAATTTTTGTTCTTGAGTGGAAAGATCTGCTGTGAAAAAACAGAGGGAGAATAGAAAGACAAGAGAGAAACCAAAGAGAAAGAGGCCCCGAGAGAGAGAGCGGCCAGAGAGAAACCTGAGAGAGAGAGAGGCCAGAGAGAGAGAGAAAGAGGCCAGAGAGAGAGAGACCAGAGAGAGAGAGAGGCCAGAGAGAAACCTGAGAGAAAGAGAGGCCAGAGAGAGGCCAGAGAGAGAGAGATGTGAGAGAGACCAGGGTGAGAGAGAGAGTAGAGAGAGAGTAGAGAGAGACCAGAGAGAGAGATCAGATAGAGAGATGTGAGAGAGACTAGGGTGAGAGTAGAGAGAGAGCAGAGAGAGACTAGAGTGAGAGATCAGATAGAGAGACCAGAGAAAGAGATCAGAGAGAGAGACCAGAGAAAGACCAGAGAGAGAGATCAGAGAGAGAGACCAGAGGGAGACCAGAGAGAAACCACAGAAAGACCAGAGAGAGAGACCACAGAAAGAGACCAGAAAGAAACTAAATAGAGAAAGATTTGAGAGTGAGACCAGAGAGACCATATGAGAGCGAAACCATGAGTGAGAGACCAGAGAGGGATCCGAAAGAGACCCGGGTGAGGGGCTTGAGTCTTATCAGCGCCCCAGGAAAATGTTGAACACAAATCCAAGAAATGTTCTCTACATGTCATTGTAAAACTTAATTGAAAGGGAGAGCCCTTTGAGTCACTTTTTGACGCTTTTGACTGATACTTGATTGTCCTTTTTTTTCACTTTCCCGCCTCAAGAAGCGGATTTAGAGATGTGAAACTAAAGCCATAGAACCAAACTGTTTCGATATGAATGAAGTAGTGAGAGGGACCATATAGTTCCAGTTTTTTTACGTGGTTTGAAAGTTACATACCCCAGCTTTAAGTGCGCATAATCTGACGTATTAACCCCGCGTAAACCATCTTCACCCCAGGCTAATCCCGCACAACACGCACAGACCTCTGAATGAAATCCAAAACAGTGTGAATGGACTGAGCTGGAAGGAGTGGGGGGGTGGGGGCAAGATCCATGGAGGGGGGGACTGCTGCAGCGCGCGCTCTATAGGCTCTCCCCACGTGAACGCGCAGAGATGCCGCGGCGCGCATGCACAGCTGTTCAGCACCACGGACAGCGTCAGCAGCGGTAGCATCATCAGGGGGGCAGCAGAGGTGGAAGCTGGCACTGCAGACAAAATGATGTGGAGACGCGCCGCTCTCCTCCCTCGCAATCCTCCACCACTGCAGCATCATCCGCGCTCTTGAAGCCGCCTCCACTCTCTCTCTTTCTCACTTTCTCTCTCTCTCTCTCTCTCTCCACACACCTCTCACCACTCCGCGTTGCCTTCCACCAGCAGCGAGCGGACCCTCAGTGCCTGCCCCAGCGCGGACGCATCCCTCTCCGGCGTCATGCGTCTCCTCTCGCTGGCCGTGCTGCTGTGGTGCTCCTGCGCCCGGGCCGGCTGCGAGCCCAAGATCGTGAACATAGGCGCAGTGCTGAGCCAGAAGCGCTACGAGCAGGTGTTCAAGGATGCGGTGGCGCAGGCGAACCAGGTCTACGGCCGGGACAAGTTCAAGCTCACCGCCATCTCCGTGACGCACAAGCCCAACGCGATCCAGATGGCGCTGTCGGTGTGTGAGGACCTGATCTCCAGCCAGGTATGAGGACCGTGGCCGCTGCTGCTGCTGCTGCTGCTGCTGCTGCTGCTGCTGGGTGTTTGCTATATTTACTGCATGCATTCTTTGTTTTATCCAGATTTTTTGTTCAGAATATTAGGAACATTCTATCTTCGGTCACATGTTTGCAAAAATCTCACAAATTTTAAAATAAATATCTTAGGGCTAAACCATTTCATATATGGTATGGAGCACAATACAAACAGTTACTAAAGAAAACAGCAAAGCAATACGAAATTTGAAGAGGTCAGTTGTCAAAAAGTTGAAATCCTCTACAATCTTTTTGTTGTTAGTACGTTTGAAAGGTTCCGCTCCAGAAGAGGTAAAACTTTATTTTTGTATGGTGCTAACATAGCTCTGTCTTTTCACAAATCTATGAAGCAAGACGTGGACTGTATTATTGCTCGTTGTAATTCTATTCCCGGGGCTCATTGACTGTTCATTTGCATAAAAAAGGTCACATTTTCATACCGTGAGGCAAGACTTAAAGGGGACATGGCGTGAGAAACCAACACTTGTTTAACCGATATTAACGACAGCTTCTAGCCATTTTGTATTTGTTTCTCCTCTCACTCACTATCTTTTCCGAGTTTTATTTTGATATTGGTTCTCTTCAGTGTTGCTTCATGTCTCTTCTGCTGATTGCCTGTGTGTATCTAAACCCTGTGCTCCTTTCCCGTTGGTATTGGTCCAACAGTTTGGATTTCTGTAACCCTGGATTTTGTTATTTCTGAGTTTTTGTGTATTGAAGCTTATATTTTTGGCAGTCCTGCATTTTGGGTCCTTCTTCTGTTTTTGCCACGTGACATATTCTCTTATGTGCCTCTAGTCCAGTGTTTCTCAAACTGGGGTACGCGTACCCCTAGTGGTACGCGGGCGCCGTCTAGGGGTACGCCATAGAATCTGTGAAAGTCCCATTGAGATTAACTCATTCTCAACCATGGATGTCATTTGAGGACAACATTGTTTTTCAATCTTTTCCTGACAGTCTGTGTCCCCTGTATCATACAGTCTGGGGTTTGGCTGTAGACAGTATTTTATTAAGCCAGCAGGTGGCAGCAGAACTCCCTGGTTTGGTCAAAGATCACTCTGAGCACTCTGAGCAGGAGAGACAGAGGTGAAGCAGACATGGAGTAATATAGTCAGGGTCAGGCTACATTTGGAGGCAGTTTGAGCAGTAAATGTGTCTCCAGAGCTGACAGAGACCATGTGGAGGGTCCTAGCAGCAGACAATGTGGAGGGTCAGAGCAGCAGACCATGTGGAGGGTCCTAGCAGCAGACCATGTGGAGGGTCCTAGCAGCAGACCATGTGAAGGGTCAGAGCAGCAGACCATGTGGAGGGTCAGAGCAGCAGACCATGTGAAGGGTCAGAGCAGCAGACCATGTGGAGGGTCAGAGCAGCAGACCATGTGGAGGGTCAGAGCAGCAGACCATGTGGAGGGTCAGAGCAGCAGACCAGCGGAGCACCCCAAAAAATCCACAGAAAAGTGGACTATTGCTAAAACTATCACTGAGTCCACACCAGGAGCCAGCAGCAAAGTCCAATTATGGTCACAGACTAAACAAACGCTCTGTAGATGTAACCACACAAAAACACACAAACGCGTGCATAAACGCACATACATGCGCGCATAAACACACAAAGACACACAGCAGTATTCTATTGCACTTATACTATAAGTATAAGTATTCACTTTGATTTATTGTCATGTATAGTGTTTATCATTGTAATTTTGTTATTCTTTGATTTACTCTTATTGACATAAATATAGCGCCACCTAATGGATGAATACTGGCCATTCTATCTGCCATAGTTTGTCATGGGCTCTACTTTCAATATGTACATTTTGACAGTTTTTGGATGAGTACATTTTGAAATATTTGAGCAACACTTTGTGGATGTGAGTGCCATAAAACGTATTATTTTGCATCAAAAACACTTTCTCATAATGTGTTGTTGCTGTTTTCTAACATGTAAGATCCTGGACATGTTTGAGGAGATGCTAAAGTCAAGCTAAATAGTTTTACAATCACTTTTCTGCAGTTCGTCTGTTTTCACAAAAACCTCATTTTCTCATTTTTTTGTCTAAGACTGGTGCTTTTTGTCACACTCCCCTCTTTTCGACTGGAGATCACAGGATAGCGAAACAAACTAAGAACAAACTTCTTTTTGCTGCTGAAAGTAGACAGTCCAGTCTTTCAGACTCTGGTCTCATATTTTTCATAGCACACAATATTCTGTGAGTCTTAAAAATCAGTGAAGTCATCAAAAAATGGCTGGCAGTCAATGAGAACCTCTTTTTCGTGTACAAAAATTACATAAAATTACAGATGATAAAACAGTCACATACAGATGATAAAATAGTCACATACAGATTATACAACAGTAACACACAATTTCATAAAATTACGGATTATAAAAACAGTTACATTTCACTGAAGATGTCTCAATCTGGATCTTAAAGCATTCAAGGAAATAAGATCAGATCATTTCTAGTCTTTTTGCAACACGTTCCATGTAGAAGGAGCAGCAAAAACAAAGGTTTTTTTTCCCAGTTCTGTGCAAAAGGAACAGAGAGCAACAAAAGATCATTTGATCCAAACATGAACATGTCTCTGTGAGTAAACGACAGATGTAAGAGGGCAGCAGACCAAGCCTTAGAAACTAAAGTGCACCAGTGTCCAAACCTTCTGTGGACAAAGATCCCACTCCAGAATATCACTCACAGTGAGGCTTTGCAGTTTGTAATGAATGAAACATTGAAAAAACATATTTTCCTATATTTAAGCACAGTCTTACTGTTGAAACTGTGTAAAACATTACATTAAATATACTTCTTTAGGAATTAAACCTCTGCCTTGTTTTTGATGAATACTTCGGCTTACTACGCTACTGTGTGGTGTTGGTCATTTGTGGTGGTACTTGGAGAGGCAAGTATTTTCTGAGGGGGTACTTGGTGTGAAAAGTTTGATAACCACTGCTCTAGTCAAATAAGGAACAAGTCTATCCAAATGTATTCTGGCTCCTGATTCTGAACATTTTGATTCTTAGCTTTCCAAAAAAGGAAAGCATGCGGAGAACTGATTATAATTGAAGGATTGGGGCATTCCTGCTTTGAAAACATGTGTTATACTCATAGTGTGGAGTAATGCATTGCACTTGTGTATGTACTATTTATATTTAGTTTCAGTCTTTTGATCGGGGGAAAAATACTCAAGGATGTTGTGTGAGACGGAGCAGAGAGTCCGCAGCTGGATTTTGTAATTGATAATTAAAAGATGCTTGTTCTCTTAGCCCTATGTGTTACGTTTTTGGACATTATTGCATCGATTGTATTTCTGACTTTTAAAATCAGTGCCTCACAGTGTTGGGTACGTTACTTTGAAAAAGTAATTAGTTATAGTTACTTCTCCCTAAAAGTAACTGAGTGACTAACGGAGTTACTCCACTATAAAAGTAACTAGTTACCAGTAAAAGTAACGATTGCGTTACTTTTTCGTTTCGTTCTGGAACATAATGTGCGCTCGACGTGCACATTTTTATCTTTAAGCTCAGTGAGTTGGAAATAGTGGTGATATTTCCATCTGTGCTGTAAGCACTGAACACCAACACCCGCCACTGTGAATGTGGAAAGACCCACCAACTGGAGGTTGTTTTATATGGTGTTGGTACTGTGCTGTCGGAGGCGGCGGCGGCGGCGGCGGCGGCTTCGCTGAGATGCTCTTTAGCGACTAGCTTAATAGTTGAGTGTTGAAGCTGCAAATGTTTTAAAAGGTTCGAGGATGAGTTGGCTGCGGTGGACAGCCAACGTCTTTATCTTTTTGACTGATATAGTTAAAATAGTGTGCATATCTCCACCGGTAAAATAAATTCCTCTCCTCTGGCTTTGCCTTGTTGATTTACAAACAAACTTGCTCATGTGCTCAACGTGACGTAAGCAGGCAGCACGCACGCAGCGGTAGTGCAGTTTTCCCTGTTTTCCCGAGGCCGGTGCCGCCGGTAACAAAGTATTTAGGTAGTAACTGCAATATAATTAAACATATTTTCATAATATCATGTTACACTACTACGTTACTCAAATTGTAATTTTGTTACAGTAGCACGTTACACTGGTGCCTCACCAATCACGAACCTCACCGTCCGTCACTGGATTGGTCAGAACTAATATGGCTCATGTCTGGATTTACAAAGACAACATCACAATATAAAAATAATAATACATCAGTTTTATAAAGCGCTTTTCAAAAACTCAAAAGCGCTTCACAATTCAGGACACACACACGCACACACACACATTCAGACAGACACACAAAACTAAAAAAGTAAAAGCAGGAAAGAAGAGTGCAATGCTGAAACTAAGAGTCGTAGGCTTGGAGGAAGAGGTGAGTGAAAAACTGTTTAGTGAGTCTGAGTTTCTGAGACGAGGAGGGAGAGAGTTCCAGAGAGTGGGAGCAGAGATGGCGAATGCTCGGCCCCCCATGAAGGTTCAGTGCATGCATGTGTCAGAGGGAGTGTGGAGATGTGAGTCTGCAGATCAGAGTGGACGCGAGGGACTGTAAATAAACACATGGATTACACAATAATAATAATAATAATAATAATAATAATAATAATAAATTTTATTTATAAGCGCCTTTCAATACACCCAAGGACACTGTACAGGACATAATAAAAACATTACAAGCAGTAGTGCATTATGGGATGGCGGGTCCGTGTGTGTGTTAGGTGGGGTAGGACAGTCTGAACAGATGGGTTTTGAGTCTGGATTTGAAGAGTGGAAGAGGATCAAGAACCTAATTTCCCTTTAACTACTTAGAAATAGTACTTTTGGTCCATTCCTCAAAGGCTCCTCACCTCCTCCCACCTCTGCTCCTCACCTCCTCCCACCTCTGCTCCCCTCCTCCCACCTCTGCTCACCTCCTCCCACCTCTGCTCACCTCCTCCCACCTCTGCTCACCTCCTCCCACCTCTGCTCACCTCCTTCCACCTCTGCTCCTCACCTCCTCCCACCTCTGCTCCTCACCTCCTCCCACCTCTGCTCCCCTCCTCCCACCTCTGCTCCTCACCTCCTCCCACCTCCCATCCTCACCTCCTCCCACCTCTGCTCCTCACCTCTGCTCTTCACCTCCTCCCACCTCTGCTCACCTCCTTCCACCTCTGCTCCTCACCTCCTCCCACCTCTGCTCCTCACCTCCTCCCACCTCTGCTCCTCACCTCCTCCCACCTCTGCTCCTCACCTCCTCCCACCTCTGCTCTTCACCTCCTCCCACCTCTGCTCACCTCCTTCCACCTCTGCTCCTCACCTCCTCCCACCTCTGCTCCTCACCTCCTCCCACCTCCCATCCTCACCTCCTCCCACCTCTGCTCCTCACCTCCTCCCACCTCTGCTCCTCACCTCCTCCCACCTCCCATCCTCACCTCCTCCCACCTCTGCTCCTCACCTCCTCCCACCTCTGCTCCTCACCTCCTCCCACCTCCCATCCTCACCTCCTCCCACCTCTGCTCCCCTCCTCCCACCTCTGCTCCTCACCTCCTCCCACCTCCCATCCTCACCTCCTCCCACCTCTGCTCCTCACCTCCTCCCACCTCTGCTCCCCTCCTCCCACCTCTGCTCCCCTCCTCCCACCTCTGCTCCCCTCCTCCCATCTCTGCTCCTCACCTCCTCCCACCTCTGCTCCTCACCTCCTCCCACCTCTGCTCCCCTCCTCCCACCTCTGCTCCCCTCCTCCCACCTCTGCTCCCCTCCTTCCACCTCTGCTCCTCACCTCCTCCCACCTCCCATCCTCACCTCCTCCCACCTCTGCACCCCTCCTCCCACCTCTGCTCCTCACCTCCTCCCACCTCTGCTCCCCTCCTCCCACCTCTGCTCCTCACCTCCTCCCACCTCTGCTCCCCTCCTCCCACCTCTGCTCCCCTCCTCCCATCTCTGCTCCTCACCTCCTCCCACCTCTGCTCCCCTCCTCCCACCTCTGCTCCTCACCTCTTCCCACCTCTGCTCCTCACCTCCTCCCACCTCTGCTCCCCTCCTCCCACCTCTGCTCCTCACCTCCTCCCACCTCTGCTCCCCTCCTCCCACCTCTGCTCCTCACCTCCTCCCACCTCTGCTCCCCTCCTCCCACCTCTGCTCCTCACCTCCTCCCACCTCTGCTCACCTCCTCCCACCTCTGCTCCTCACCTTCTCCCACCTCTGCTCCTCACCTCCTCCCACCTCTGCTCCTCACCTCCTCCCACCTCTGCTCCTCACCTCCTCCCACTGCTGCTGCCACACATTAAAATCATCGTTATTGTGTGTCTTCCCGATGTTAGTCCATGTTTCACTAACGACCTCAGCTGGCGTTCACGTCACAGTAAATGAGTTTTAACTGGAACATTATGAGGAGTAATGAGAGTCTTAATTCACTGCCGCAGACTTGGGTTTGGCATTTTAATACTGAATTTTATAGACCGATGTTGAAATGATGTGTCAACCCGGGACGAGAGCGGGAAAGGTCGCCGTGTTTTTTGGACCCATTTTGTTGTTTACCAGGGAAGACAGGAAGGTGTCTTTTAGAGCTTTTAGACATATGTGACGTGTTAGTGCCATATGCTGGGACTCTGAGGCGCACAGGGACTGGCCTCCTGCTGGGACTCTGAGGAGCACAGGTACTGGCCTCCTGCTGGGACTCTGAGGAGCACAGGTACTGGTCTCCTGCCGGGACTCTGAGGAGCACAGGTACTGGCCTCCTGCTGGGACTCTGAGGAGCACAGGGACTGGCCTCCTGCTGGGACTCTGAGGAGCACAGGTACTGGCCTCCTGCTGGGACTCTGAGGAGCACAGGTACTGGCCTCCTGCTGGGACTCTGAGGAGCACAGGTACTGGCCTCCTGCTGGGACTCTGAGGAAGCACAGGTACTGGTCTCCTGCCGGGACTCTGAGGAGCACAGGGACTGGCCTCCTGCTGGGATTCTGAGGAGCACAGGGACTGGCCTCCTGCTGGGACTCTGAGGAGAACAGGGACTGGCCTCCTGCTGGGGCCTAGAGTCAAAACCAAACACAGAGAGGCACCATTCAGATAAAACTGACATTTATCTCTCAAGTGATCGAAAAACCGAAGTCAAAACTAGCATAAGACCCGCCAGCCAAGGTGCAGCGTCTTCATCCTTGGCATTTGACCCATCCTGATGCCACAGGGACCTCTAATAGTTTTGGAATACTTCTTTGGCCGCTACCAGGTACTTTAGATCTTAGGTCACATGTTTTCAAAGATCATATACATTTTACATGAAGAAAAAAATAAAAACTGAATAATGTATATGAAGAATTTTAGTGCTAAATAATGCCTCTGTCCGTCAGGAGCAGTGGTCTCTTTATTCAAGATTCATTGATCTCAGGCTGGTATGAAAACTTAAATTATAAAAACACCTTTTCGTGTTTTTAGTGTCGTCTTGTATCGGCGTGTGCTGTATTTAAAATCTACAACCCACGCCAGTACTTTTTTCACTCCCTGGGCTCCTGGTTTCATTTTGAATTGATTTGAAAATGTGTTTGAAGCCCTAAATGGTCTTGCCTCTCTGTACTTGTCCGAACTCTTGACCGTCCGTGACTCCGGCAGATCCTTGAGGTCATCAACTTCCTCCAACTCTGGCTCCTATCGACTAACATTGAAAAGTAATCTCTTCGAGCTCCCTGTTAGAGTTTGGCTCACACAAAAACATGTAACTATAGAATGCATGTAACTTGTCCCTATATATTATTGGTGAAAATTCTCATAAAAAACCTTTCTTGTTTGTCCCAACGGAAAGAATCTAGTTGTCGTAAGATGTTGTGAGCAAACCAGGAGGAGTCAGAGCGAGTTGGGGCAAAACTTTGTCCATGAGCACTTCCCTATTGGGCTTTATGGAGCTAGCGGGTTAGCATTGTCCACCTCCATACAAGCTATGGGTGAAATGTAGCTGGTGTTGGCTCTATGTATCACAAAAAACCAAAATAGCATCTAAAAGTAGATACAAGAACAAGTCGTCGCCACATGTAACAGAGTTTTCACCTCTTCTAGCTAAACCCCAGCAGGTGGATTGCATCAGTAAACCAGTGCAATGGAATCGAGCAACAGAAGAGAGAGAATCGAGCAACAGAAGAGCGACAAACTTTTTTTTTGACAATCACATTTATTATGGACTGAAATCTGGTCACCCCAGCTTTAAAGTCACATTTTTGTCACTTATATTTGGTCAAAATGAAATAGCAGCTTTAAACCAGGGCTGGCTATCCTTTCAAAGCTAGTGCTACTTACTATGGCTCTAATGTACTCACATGTTTTCCAGTGATATTAAATGATTAAAAAATTTTTTCCAAACACCCGCACTACATTTAAAAGCTTCTAATGGACGTCTGCTCTGGACGCCGCTGCTCCAGGTGTGCGTCCATCAGTGGTGGCTTCCATTCACGAAGTTACGTTTTTCTCCTTTGATGTTTGATGATGGAGAAACAGGAAACTGAGCTGCGGCATTGACTCCCTGTCTGGTTTGTGTATGTTTTTGTTGCAATGGGCGCACATGTTTTTTTACTTCTGCCCTAATAAATAAACTGAAGCCTGAGTTTGAGCCAGGGACAGAGAGAGGACTTTGCAGAATACCTGGGCGTCCTCTGTTAGTTTTCAGGCCTGGGGAGACAGATACATTTGGCTCAGCTCATCGGGATAGTCAGGGAAATAGAAGAGCTCAGAGTTTTGCACTAGTATTGAATTAAAACGAGAATGACGTGTTATTTTTTTGAACTCTTGAATATCTTGGTCTTCTTTTCTAGTCAAATTTGTTGACGTTTGTTAGAAAACCAGCTGCAGCCTTTTGCCCCAACTGAAAACGTTTAAAACATGCATTGCAGTAATCAATTCTTGAACGGATAAAATCATGGATAGTTTTTTTGCAGCCATTAAAGGTGGTAGTTTTCCAATCTTTCAGTAATTGCAGTCTCATACTCACAGACACACACCAGTATTGCGTATTGTTCAGTTTCTCGTGCTCTGATCGCTCTTCTGCTCCGCCGTGGGGTCAGCGGTGGATTCTGTGGTGATTCCGGATGTGGATAGGTCACGTCACATATGGGCTCCTCTTCGGGCCAGTGCTCTTTTCAAACAGACTGAGGCAAAAGCAGGAGACGACAAAACCAGAACGCAAGACCATGAGCTGTGTGTGCGATATGTTCACTGCTCTATCTCGGGCTGGATTTGTACCACGGAGGATCTAAGAACGTTAAGTGATAAAAAACAGTTATTGTGATCAGATATTAGATTTATTATAGACATACATACATATATTAGGGATGCATATACGTATATACTGTATCTCTTGCACTAGAGGATGCCATATTTTACTCATGCTACTTTTTAAGATCAAGATATAGAGATTTTAATTTGTGTTTAAAGGATGTGGTTGTGCTATTCTTGATATTCACTTGTCTTGTGTTAACTTCAGATGCAACACTGAAATTTCCCCTCTGTGGGATGAATAATGGATTTCTTAATCGATTCTTATGATATTTTAAAAAAAGTTGCACAAATATCAACAAGAAGACCTCACTGTTCCTACACTTTTTCATAAACTTAAAAAGAAAAATATATACAATAAAATATGATTGATTATATATATACGGGCCTTAGTTGGGGTCTGGGACAGGTCTGAGTTAAAGACAGACTGGTCTGAGTTGTGGTCTGAGTCTGGCCTCAGTTGGGGTCTGGGACTGCTCTAGGTTGGGGTCTGGGACTGGTCTATGTTGGGGTCCGGGACTGGTCTAGGTTGGGATCTGGGACTGATCTGAGTTAAGGACAGACTGGTCTGAGTCTGGCCTCAGTTGGGGTCTGGGACTGCTCTAGGTTGGGGTCTGGGACTGGTCTATGTTGGGGTCCGGGACTGGTCTAGGTTGGGATCTGGGACTGGTCTGAGTTGTGATCTAAGTCTGGCTTCAGTTGGGGTCTGCGACTGCTCTAAGTTAGGGTCTGGAACTAGTCTAGGTTGGCGTCTGGGACTGGTTTAGGTTGGGGTCCGAGACTGGTCTAGGTTGGGGTCTGGGACTGGTCTGAGTTGAGATCTGAGTGTGGCTTCAGTTGGGGTCTGCGACTGCTCTAAGTTAGGGTCTGGAACTAGTCTAGGTTGGCGTCTGGGACTGGTTTAGGTTGGGGTCCGAGACTGGTCTAGGTTGGGGTCTGGGACTGGTCTGAGTTGAGATCTGAGTGTGGCTTCAGTTGGGGTCGGAAACTGCTCTAGGTGAGGGCCTGGGACTGGTCTAGGTTGGAGTCTGGGACTGGTCTGAGTGTGGGTCTGGGACTGCTCTAGGTTGGGTTCTGGGACTGGTCTGAGTTGAGGACTGGTCTGACCTTCTAACTCTCTATCCATTCAAAGTCTATTCAACCCATCAAGGATACCCTATGAAGGCCAAAACAAGCTCTCACCAAACATTCACACCAAAAATATTTGCCGTAACCATGGCAACCTTGCCCACCGACGCCTGAACCGCACATCTCTATAGTGTGTTGGTTTTGACGGATCTTCCCAGACGCGGAGACCAAAAGACATGGATAATCGAGCTCTATTTTCCCGTACGCCCGGGTCAGGAATCTGCTCCATCATCCAAGAACCGCTCCGAGGCACTTTCCCATCTGCTGCGGCGAGGCAAAGACACGGGAGAGAAAATGTGGGTTTTTCATTCAGTTTGTACAAAGAAAAGGCTCTGACAAATGACTCGGATTGGATTCAAAATAATGCAGAGAAATAATAACCGTAACATTTGTGATCATCTGTTAGCATTTAGCGGTCATCTGCAGTTTATGGACCAATGGCTCTATGTGTTTTTTATCGTTGCATTTCCTGTATGGTTCTCTGATCTGCGTTGGCGAATCGGTAACTTAGTAAAGTCCTTCGGGATAACTGCAGTTGGGATTTATATTGAATTGAATTGAATAACCATAACATGAATGTACTGTACCTAGAATCAAGCATTTCAAAACATATAGAACACATAGGTACTGGTCCATAGGGGGTTGACCAATGTCCATATAGAGGTAAATATAGACATACAGGTACATACTGTATAGACACAGAGAGACACAGGGACATATAGGCACAGAGAGACACAGGTACAGAGAGACACAGGTACAGAGAGATACAGAGAGACACAGATAAATATAGACACAGAGAGACAGGTACATATAGACACAGAGAGACACAGGTACATATAGACATAGAGAGACACAGGTACATATAGACACAGAGACACAGGTACATATAGACACAGAGAGACACAGGTACATATAGACACAGAGACACAGGTACAAAGGGACACAGGTACATATAGACACAGAGAGACACAGGTACACATAGACAC